GAGAGGGAGAGAGAGAATCCTAAGCAGGCTCCACACTGTCAGCGAGTAGCCCCATGCTAGGCTCGAACTCATGAACCGTTAGATTATGACCTGAGCCGAAATCAAGACTTAGAAGCTTAACTGACTGAGCCACCCAGGTGTCCCATGGCTGCTACATTCTTAAAGGGTCTCATGACTGCCTGTACAACCTACCCATAGTTAATATCGAACTGAATGATAAGAGAAATCTTGAGAGGTTTATGAGTAGAAATTCAAAGAAAACATTTATGATCTAATACTTGCATGTCCCCTCCCTCTTGAGCATTAAGCATATAACCGCCAGCTTCATACAGCAAAAGTGCAGCTCTTTCTGCCCACGGGTTTTGTCCCCTGCTATAATAAAGCACCTCTTTGCACCCAGAATATCTCAAGAATTCTTTTCTTGACCTGTAGGCTCGTGGCCCCACATCAAGTTCTACGACCAACCGTGGGGCTTGAACTCAGGACATGGAGATGGAGAGTCACGTGCTCTACCCACTAAGCTGGCCAGATGTCCCCCAACTTCATTTTGAATAAGGTGTTTTTGTTGTTGTTGTTGTTGTTGTTGTTGTTTTCCTTCAGTTTCACACAAGCAATTCTACAGGTAGCCAAGCAGGTACAACCCCTTGTCCTGTTTTCAAGATAAAAATTTCAAAATCCACCGTCTTTAGTCCTGTCTAGTTCATCCTAACTTTATTATGGTTTATTGGCTTATATCCAGGGGAGAAACAAGCTTCTCACCTATTACTGACCTGAGGTAGTTTAGTATATCATAGCAAGGCCCCCACCAAAGTGAGGCTCTTAATCCCTCTCCCAGGAACTGGGAGATCTGGATCTATCATCTATCGCTAGGAGGTTTGCATTTCAAAAAGATGGCTTTCAGCCCCCGGGAGTCCTGAGTTTTGAGACTTGCAAGAGGCTTATTTAACCACAATAGAGACTTACAATCATTTTAAAAGGACGAAGAAAGAAATTCTGAAACAAACGTGGGAGAGCGGGAAGTCACACCCCTTCTTTTCAACGGGGAGAATCAAGCCTGTCATTTTTCACTTGGATTTGTTCCACCAGGTGTTGTTTTCGAGGCGTGTTGTGCTTAGGTGTGCGCTGTGGGCGGGTGTTGCGCGAGGGCGTGTGTTGTGTTAACACTGCGCGTGAAGCCCGTCTGTGGGGGCAGTCGGGTGTGAGGGAGGGTATGTGTGATATGTGTGATGTCGGAGGTGGTTCAGAGTTGAGTGGCGTTGAAGTGCTGGGCCGGGGTGTGTACCGGGTGGGTTCTGCACGGAGCAGGGGCGCGTGTGTCGGGGTGGCGATGAGTGGAATTAGCCCACAACGTAGTTGCGGGAAACGATAACGGCGATAATGGAGAGGACTAAAGCTTGGTTCCGCGGTTTCTAAAAATTCGGAGGCCGTCTTCCTTCACTTTGTAGTCGGAGGGCTTGAGGACTACAATTCCCAGGATGCCCCGCTCGCTCACCAACCAGGAACACGCGTCGATTTAATGGGCGGGCCTGGAGTGGGCTGGTCAGGAAGAGAGGCAGACGACCAATGGGCGAGCCGGAACGAATCGAAAGCCACGCTGATTGCGCCGAGGCTGATTGGAATCTTTGGCGCCTTGGTTTCAGTGGTGGATGCATGGTGGGCGGATGTAGCGACCAATGAGAAGGCGGGGAGGAGGAGCCAGGGGGTGTGGGCAGGGAGAGGTGTTGACTAGCAGGCGGTTTACCCAATGAGGAGCGCAGGTCGCTGAAGGGGGCCGGGCGAGGCGTCTAGAGGCGGTGGACTGTGGTCGGCTGGTGTGTGCCATGGCGGAGCCGGTGAGGAAACGGGGCCGCCGATCCCGGGGCGGCGGTGTCGGCCGAGGGGCTCGCGGGTCTCGGGGCGGCCGGGGCCGGCGTCCTCGCGTCCCTCGGTCTCCAGGCCGGCTCACCCTGGACTCGGTGTTTGTGGACTTGGTCAGCGACAGCGACGAAGATATCCTGGAGGTCGCAACAACGCGCAGCGCTGCGGACTCGGTCGAAGTCCCTCACCCGGAGCCCCCAGTGCCGGCTGCCCCCCGGGACGACAGCGACAGTGACAGCGAAGGGGCGGACGCACCGCCCGCCGGAGCCCCGCGGGCCCCGGTCAGGCGGCGGCGGCGGCTGCTGCTGGATCCGGGGGAGGCACCGGTTGTTCCGGTGTACTCCGGGAAGGTGCAGCGCGGTCCCCGGGAGGGCTAACGCAGAAGGGCTGGGTCTAGGGACTGCTCAGATTAGGCTTCTGGGATTGGTCTTGGGGGACTAAACGGACGCGGGAGTTGGGGCCTTGGAAGCAGAGAGATGCAGGGTTCCTGAGGTTTCTGCAGTTTGGAGAGGTGAAGAGGTTTGGAGTGTGTTAGGAGTTTGGGATTCCTGGGAGCTGGAGTGTCAGAAGCAGAGAGAGGCTAAGGGGCCGGGATCCCTTATGCTTCTGAGAGGGGCTGGCAGGACCTGGGGCTGGGATTTGGGGCATGTTGGGTTTTCAGGTTGGGGCCCATTGCTAAGGATCCAGGAAGCTGGGGTCATGGAAGTTCAGAGAAGATTGGGGACTCCAGGAAGCTGGGTCCCCTGGTGGGAGGGTGAGCTAGGAAGCTGGGATTCCCCAGGATTCCAAGGTAGCAGGATGGCTAGCAACCTAGTAAGAGCGTAAAAGAAAAACTAATGCCTTAGGGAAAGGGCTTGTAGCAGTAAGGGTACTCTAATTTGGATCTTGTGGAAGCTGGGCTCCTAACTCGCCCAGAGAGGACTTGGACTTGAGAGCTGGAGGAGGGGATGAGTCATCCTGTTTCCCTTTCAGTAGAGGGAGGACTTGGGACTGATTCACTTTTGTCTTTACAGGTGAAAAGCAGCCTTCATCTCATCCCAGATCACCTGTCCCTCCTGAAACTCTGTCCTCCAGAAGCTGAGGAAGGTAGGGGCAGACTTCAGAGAGGAGCCCAGTGCTGGCCTCTCTGAGGAAGCTTCCTGGAGTTTACATCTCTGCGGTTGATTATTATTCTTTTTAATGTTTATTTATTTTTAAGAGGGAGAGAGAGCGTGAGCAGGGGAGGGGCAGAGAGAGAGGGAGACACAGACTCCGAAGCAGGCTCCAGGCTCCGAGCTGTCAGCACAGAGCCCGATGCGGGGCTCGAACTCACAGAACGTGAGATCATGACCTGAGCCGAAGTCGGACGCTTAACTGACTGAGCCACCCACGGACGCCAGAAATTCCCAGGCGCTCCTGCGGTTCATATTTTTCCTGAGGCTCAAGGGAAAGGCATGACTCCTTCAACCTAGCCAGACAAAAGCTTCTGTCCTGAAATGAGATGAGTGTTAACCAGGAGGCACAGAAAGGGCTGTCAAACTGCCCTTCCCCCAACCTGATAGGCACAAGAGTGTGCTAATCTCCAGATTTCTAGGCCATCTCCAGAGATTCTGATTCTGTATTCCTGGGGGCAGGGGAGGAGGAGGGGTTGAGAATCTGTAACATCGTGGCACATCTGCAACAAGTTCCTTGGGAACACTCTGGAGCCAGCATGGTGTTCTTTGAATCTTATCAGAACTGGTCCTCCCTCAGTGATGTGATGTTTTGCGAACCACCCAAAGGCAGTGAATAGGAGTCAAGTTTAATGAGGAAGGGATCCAGTGGGCAAATGCAGACCTTGGGCCAGGCCTTCTGTACCGGGAGCAAGTATGGTAGGGTGATCAACAGCTGATTTAGGAACCAGCTGGCCTGGGTTTGAATCTCAGCTCTACCTTTTAGTAGCTGTGCGACCTTGTTTCGTCACCAGAAAACTAGGGGTAATAGTGGTCCTACGCCAGAGGATTTGGGTGAGAATTAATTAGAGAGTATACATAAGGAGCCCTCTCTTGGGCTACATGTATGGTTAGGACGGTACCTGGAACGTAGTTGTGCGAAGGTACCTCTGTCCTTGCTGCTTCAAATGTAGGCCCAGGTGCGCCAGGCATCTCCCGGGAGCTTGGCAGAAATGCAGAATCTCATGTGTCTACCAGCTGCCACATTTATCGAGGACAGAGTTGCTCAGCCTTGACCTTACTGACATTTGCACTGAGTAATTCTTTGTGGGGACCTGTCCTGTGCATTGTAGGATGTGTAGCAGCATTGTGACCTCTACCCACCAGGGGCCAGCGTCACACACTCCGACTCCCTCCGTCTCCTCATCATGACAACAAAAATTGTCTCGAGACATTGCCACATATCCCTTGGGAGGCAAAATTGCCTCTGGTCGAGAACCACCGATCTAGGATGTATTATCATTGCTTTGTTTTTGCAGTATTTATTTATATGGTTAATGATGATCTTTGGTTAATGGCAAACAAATGAAAAAAGAGGTTCTGTGTTCTAGAATAAACCTCTAGTTTCCTGTTATAAGTAGTTGTAGTTAAAATGAGTGATTAAAAAAAGATACTAAGTATTACAGAGATATGACAAAATGTGTAATCATGCTCACATGGAAGAAATTTGAGAAACGTGGGCTCAGAGGGCCTATACTGCTCTGTACCTTGTTCCCTCCCTGCGCCATGCCGCCTCCTGCCCCATACCTACGTGGTCTGTCTATGCCCATCCAATCCAGTACAGGAAGAAAATAAGAGGAACAATTAAAAAAAAAAAAATCATCCTTTGCCAACATCTGGTTTGAAGTTTGTTCTGTCACATACACGGTAGTATGTGCATGTGTCATAAGGAACACGTGTGTATTAAGTAAATAACATATTTCCTAGATCGTGTGTATTTTATATGTGGGCGGCATGTGATCAAAAAAGGAGATTAAGTTAATCATAACTTAGTTGGAGTGGCCCACCTTCCGATCGTCCCCACTTCCGTGCCGGCTCGTGCCTTAGCATGAGGTTCAGACACCTCCGCTCATCGTTTTCTCTGCACCAGGCATTTCCCTATGACTCCTGCCCCTTGAGCACTTCCCCAGCATTATTGTGTGTGTGTGTGTGTGTGTGTGTGTGTGTGTGTGTGTGTGTGTTTCTTGGGACCCCTCAGTCTCCAGCTTTCTCAGGACCTTGTGAAGCCCTGACTTGCCTCTCCTTGGCCTCTCGCTGCCCTCTCTTAGCTAACCCCTTCCACTTGTCCTCCTTTGTTCCCAGAGGCCGATATGGCAGGTTCTAGCAGTCCGCATGCTGAAGATGCCCCGTTTCCAGATTCGCCCTGGAAGAAGAAGCTGAGGAGTAGAGATGCAGAAGAGAAGACAAAGGAGGTGTTTCTGTGAGTGAGGCTGGGGCACTGGGACCCCAGGAGCAGAAGGGGAGCTGGAGGCGTGGGCTGAGGTGGGCAGGATCCTTGGGTGGCTCCTGAAAGGGTAAGGAGAAGGGATGGAGGGAGTCTTGAGGCTCAGGGAGGAATGAAGTTGTTTTTTTGTAAACATTTTTTTAAAGTTAATTTACTTATTTTAAGTAGGGGAGGGGCAGAGAGAGAGAGGGGAACAGAAGATCCGAAGTGGGCTCTGTGCCGACAGTGGACAGCCTTATGGGGGGCTCGAACTCACGAACTGGGAGATCATGACCTGAGTCGAAGTCACACGCTTAGCCGACTGAGCCACCCAGGCGCCCCAAGGGAAGCAATTTACCTTAAAAATTAGGCATTTTTCTTGCTAATATTTGGGTCCCGTGGGTATAAAAATGATGGCTCAGGTCTTCTCTGACTTTACCTCCCCGTGTCCACAGGATGGTGTCACTGGAAGGTGTTCCCTCTTGATAATCCACTTCCCCGTGTTGGTGCCCAGGACCAAGGAGCTACCTCCTTGGTAGCTCAGGAGGAGACACATGGGACTGGGGTCCCTTCCTCTTCCTCCGTCCCAGCCCTCAATTCTCTTTGTAGGTTTCAAGACACCTCTCCTTTGTCTCCGCCTCCTCCGAGAACCAAAAGCAGGAAGCATACTCGGGCACTCCAGAAGTTAAGGTACCAAGGGCAGGGGGCTCGCCGGGGTAGAGAGGGGCGGTTTGGTGGGTGGCCCACCCTGGCTGACCCGCCGTCCTTCCTGCACCCCAGGGAGGTGAACAAACGCCTGCAAGATCTCCGTTCCTGCCTGAGTCCCAAGCAGCGCCAGGGCCAAGATCACCAGAACCAAGAGGATGAGGTGGTCCTAGTGGAGGGTCCCACCCTTCCATCGAGCCCCCGGCTCTTCCCACTGAAAATCAGGTGCCGGGCTGATGTGATCAGGTTGCCGATGAGGATGGTAAGTGCCTGAAGGGCCGTGGGAGAGGGATCCCCGGAGCTGCCTGTGGGCGAGTGTGGTGTCAGGGCAGAAGGGATCGTGTCTTGCTTTCCCCATCCAGCCAGTGCCCTTCCAGGTTCCCCGCCCCATGTCTTGGGTTCGCTCTTCCCTTTGTCTCGATTGTCTTTCCCTCACTCTCTCTTCTCCAGCAAACTTCCCACCCACCCTTCAAGGCTCCACTTAAGCCTCCTGAGAAGCTTTGCTTGGTAGCCCCCTCCTCCGTTCCTTCCCTCGGACCCCGTGCTGCCCCTTGGTGCCTGCTTTATTTTTTTTTATTTTTTTTTAACGTTTATTTATTTTTGAGACAGAGAAAGACAGAGCATGAACAGGGGAGGGTCAGAGAGAGGGAGACACAGAATCTGAAACAGGCTCCAGGCTCTGAGCTGTCAGCACAGAGCCCGACGTGGGGCTTGAACTCACGGACCGCGAGATCATGACCTGAGCCAAAGTCGGCCGCCCAACCGACTGGGCCACCCAGGCGCCCCTGGTGCCTGCTTTTAAACTGTGTTAGTCACAGATGTCACCCGTTCACTCTGAGCTCCCCCAGCTTCCTGGTGGAAACGACTATTTTTGTAGGGATGAGCCCAATTCCAAAACAAGAGTGACAACAGAAATAACCATTTATTGAGCAGCAGCGACGTGTCAGGCAAGCAGCGAAGCCAGGCCTTGCGAACACGCAGCCCATGGCTTTTATCGACAGCGCGTCTTACTTTTTTTGTCTCGTGGACGCAGAATGCTTTTCAGACGTGTGTTCGTTGCCACCCACCTCAATGAGTGATTTCATCCAAAGGACCGGTTGCCTGGCTTCTCTTAAATAGGACGGAGTAGTTGCACTGGCCTGTGCTCCCACACGGCACCCATCAGCCAGAGCTGGGGACGGCTGGCCTGTTAGAGGGGGCGTATGAGATCCAGTTTGCCGCATTCCCCACCCCTGCCCTTTTCCCTCCTAATCCACGGCTGCTTCATTTCTTTGTGTTACCTCCCCGAACCCCAAATGGACGTGACTTTATTCTGTACTTTGCCAGGTAAATCTATGGGACTCCCAGCTGAGGAGCTCAGCGGGTAGCAAAGGCCAGAAACGTGGTGGGGAAGGGGGGGACGGGGCACGTCAGGAGGTGGCCTCCTTTGCTTCTTGTCCCCTCACCAGTCGGAGCCCCTACAGAGTGTGGTGGACCACATGGCCACCCATCTCGGGGTGTCCCCAAGCAGGATCCTTTTGCTCTTCGGAGAGACAGAGCTGTCCCCTACTGCCACTCCCAGGACCCTAAAGCTTGGAGTGGCTGACATCATTGGTGAGAGGAAGGCAGGGAGGTGGAGCCTTGAGGAGGCTTTGGCCACAGGGAGGGGATAGAGGAAAAGGCCCAGAGGGGGCCCTGCTTCCAGTCCCCCCCCTTAAGCCTGGCTTCCCGATCCTGCCTCCCACAGACTGCGTGGTGCTAGCAAGTTCTCCGGAGACCTCAGAGATGTCCCGCCTGCTCCAGCTGCGGGTGCAGGGCAAGGAGAAACACCAGATGCTGGAAGTCTCGCTGTCTCCGGTGAGTGGGAGAGATGGCTGTCCGGGCCCCTCACCCTTTCCTCTGCCGACCGTGTCTCTCTGGTCAGTTACCAGCGGGTGGCTCCCCCCGAGTCCCGAGCAGTTTGGGTTCCTGCCCGTCCTAGAGACTGGGGAGAGCCCACTGTTCAGCTTTGCTCCCCCTCGTGCTGGGAACCTCTGCTCTAGTCTCCCGACTCCTGCTTAAAATGGAAAGGACCCTTGGACGGTAACCAATGAAACAGAACAACAGTGCCAGGCTTCTGAGTGACAGTCCCCATGCTAGAGATAATTAACTTCCCAGTCAGGGTGTTGGTGAACTTCACGGTGACATTGCATGGAAACCACTGTCGTTGCCCTCATTTAGCACATAGGGACACGGGTCTAGAGAGGCGGGATAATTTGCAGTGTCTGTTCCTGGGGCTGCTGTAGCAAAACACCACAAACCGGGTGGCTTAAAACAACCGTATTCTCACACGGTCCTAGAGGCCAGGAGTCGAAGCTGAGTGCTCAGCAGGGGCCATGCTCTGTCCGAGGCTCCGGGCAGAAATGCTCTTTGCTTCTTCCTGACTCCTGGAGGCGGCCGCTGGTCCTGGGCACTCCTTGGCCTGCAGCTGCGCCCGCCCCCTCCCTCAGTGTCTGCCTCTGTCGTCACGGGGTATCCTCCCTGTGTGTCTCTGCCTGTGTGTTTTCTTGCAAGAATGCCAGACGCTGGTGCCCACCCTCAGCGAGTGTGCCCTTGACTTCACCTGATTACATCTGCAAAGGCCCTGTTTCCCATCTGGAAATGGGAAATGGTCACATTCACACTTACCAGGGCCCTTGCCCAAGGTCACACATGAGCCGAGCGGGAGAGCCTGGCCTGCAGCTCAGGCCATCCTCACTCTAGGATCTGGGCTGTCTTCTTCACTGCAACAGACGCCTCCATTGGTAGGTGAGGAGCTTGGGGCTTGCAGAACCCACCTGACCCGGAGCCTGCAGCCTAAGCCTTAGCCTCTGTGGCCCGGTCCCCTAGAGAGGGACCCGGCTGTGCTAGCTTCTCTGTCCACTCGCCTTCCCCTTTGTCCCCTTGTCCTCTCTGTCCTGAGTCCTCTGTACATCTCTATAAGTTCTCAGCCCCTCTTTTCAAATTCTTTTTTTCCTTAAGATTTTTTTAATTGAAAATTTTTAATGTTTATTAATTTTTTATTAATTTTGAGGTTTTTTTGTTTTTTTAATTTTTTTAATGCTTATTTATTTTTGAGAGAGAGAGAGCGAGAGACAGAGCATGAGCAGGAGAGGCAGAGAGAGCGGGAGACACAGAATCCAAAGCAGGCTCCAGGCTTCAAGCTGTCAGCACAGAGCCTAATGCGGGGCTCGAACTCACAAACCGTGAGACTGTGACCCGAGCGGAAGTCAGACGCTCATCCGACAGCCACCCAGGCAACCCGTTGAAGATTTTATTTTTAAGTCACCTCTACACCCAACATGAGGCTCAACCCCTTGAGCAAGCGTCACATGTTCTATTGACTGAGCCATCCAGGCACCCCCTCCCCTCCCCTCCCCCCCATCTTTTCGAATTCTTACATCCATTTTTTTCTCCTCTGTCCAGGATTCTCCTCTCAAGACCCTCATGTCCCGCTACGAGGAGGCCATGGGACTCTCAGGCCACAAGCTCTCCTTCTTCTTTGATGGGACAAAGCTTTCAGGCAAGGAGCTGCCCGCTGATCTGGGCATGGAATCTGGGGACCTCATCGAGGTCTGGGGCTGAAACCCCACGCCCTGTTTTGACGTGCCGCCTGGACTTGGGGGAGGACAGCTGCCCCTTTTGGCCCTGTATGGGCTTATCTTTAAGCTGAAGCAAAATCTAGCAGCGAACTTTGACCCCCTCTCCCGTTGACCCTGGTTTCAAGCCGTTAGTTACTTGGTTAGTTGTGTGGTTGTTCTTGCCGTCCTGGGTGGACTGTGGCTCCGCCCACTGGGTATGCTGCGTTCGCAGCCCCCCAGGACACAGGGAAGGTATCCCTCACTCCCACCGAGCCCCTTTCCTTCCTGGAAATGTTTTTATGCAAATGTTTTTATGCAAGTGCTCCTATTTAGAGCGACTGGGAATAAATAAGGGGTGGGTGTGGATTCCAGGCCTGGGATGTCTGGGAGCTGGGACCAGCAGTGGCCCCAGGGGGCTAGCAGGTAAAGTTTGAGGCACCTACACGAGTGTGGTTCCCCGGCCTGCAGGAAGATAAATGGTCCAGGCCCCACACGCGCTCACTTAAGCCCAGCAGACAGGGTCTAGTGGATCCTCAGCTTTGGATGTCTTCCTCACCCCAGGACCCTTTATAGGCACCTTCCTGAGGCACACACGTTGTTTAAGACATAATTGAACACCTCGAGCTCTTTTTGTTTGGATCTCCCGATGCTAGTCCACGAAAGGCTTCTCTGGTTTTACGGCTGTCTCTTCCCTGCTCATGCCAGCCTAAGCACCCATTCGAGTGTGCGGATCGCGCGTCTTTCAATACAAACGCATCTTCGTAAGACGCACTGATGTGTGTGTTGAATACACTTTTGCCACGTGCGGTAGCGCCGTGCTGTAGATCTCGTGCTGTTTCTTTCCTCACTCAATACGTGGTGCTTATTCTACGTGGGATTCATCGCTCGAAGGGCCCGTTGGTGTTCCTCAGGGGGCCTTGGCTGCATCTTACACGTTCATGGGTCTCCTTCCGCGCTTGCGTGGCAGGTTCTCCAACATAAGCCCCCAGGATGGGATTACGGGGCGGACGGGTTCATTTCCCTGTGGTTCTACCAAATTTTTCTCACGAATGGCCACGGAGCCTCCCCCTGGAGGGTCTCCGTTTCTCCTCATCCTCACCAGCTCTTGTTACTGCCCTGCTTTCCAACTTTTGCCAGCCTGTGGGGAGGAAAGTGGTGCCGTGTTTCGACGCACATCCATCCGCTCACCGGCACTTCCGGGAATTTCTTCGCACTTGCCCCGCAGCCTTTCGGGCTCCCTTTCTGTGCGCTGCCGTGACCGCTGCCGACGCTCGAGGACCGGCGCTCGCGCTTGATTCTTGAGGGGTGTCCTTCACCGAACAGAAATTCTCAGTTTGGATGTTACGTGCGTGAACTATTTTGTCGTATCATTTGTCGCTTTTTGATTTCTTATTTAAAAGTCGTTTAGATATTTTACATTTTCTGCTCTTGGCCCCGTAGTTTGCCCTTGCACGTTTCGGCCACTAAGTAGGGCCGAGGTCCAGCCATCACACCCCGCGATGCGCGTCGGCTGGCCTCTGTTCTGTGTGGGCGAACATTTGTTCGCATCGGCTGATTCCGGGCTGTACCGGCTGCTGAATATTGAACATTACTTTTAAACGATTTGCATTCAACTTCGCCTATGAGATCCAGGTTTTATTTTCACCACAGAATGAGCCAGACTTCTCAGCGCTGTCTACTAATAAAGCCATTAATTTGCCACTGATACGTGGTATCATTCTGACAAAAGTATGTCACCTTCTAAAAACTTTTGTTGGAATGTGGCATTCCTTTGACCTTCTAATGTGAGAAAAATAGAAGCCTCTATAACATTGAAATAATCCACGATATGGCATAACTCATTTTTTTCAGATCTTATTTTGTCCATTAATACGTTTGGACACGTTAAAATTGTGTATTCGGCCTTAACAAAATAAACGGGAGTACATTCACCTTGCGTCTCCTTGAGGGTTTCTGTCTTTGTAAACCCCCCCGCCCCCC